TTTTTCGAATCAGTGGATATCTGTGAAAATTTTGATGGCGATAGTTGAAAATAATTTTATAATTTCAATTCACAGTTTTATCTATTCGATTTGTTTTATTCAGTTAATTTGGTCACATACATGATTTCATTACGAAATGGATAAAATTTATACTTTGCCATCTATTGATTAGTCCCTGTGGCTATTTTTTATGACTTGATCGATTTAGCATTTTTAGATTTTTTCGATTTTTTTTTGTTGTTGTCACCTTATATTACTTTATTATTGTTGTTTGTAATCAACTTCCTCATACCAGAATTTTATTTCTGACTGGAAGCTAGTTTTTCAATAAACAATAAACAATAAACTTAGACTTATTTTCCGTACTAGAATTATTATCCGCCTTTGTCAGTAGAGCTTTTGAAAAATAATTGTGAATAGGTAAACCTTTACACTACACTGTTTTACCACTAACCAAACCGATTTTTTAACGCCTCGACACGTGTTTCGCTAACTATGTTAGCATCTTCAGGAGAAGATTAAAACTAAATATCCTATTCTACTGTGCTGCTTATATACTAGGTATATGTTCACCCAACTGTGAAAAATACTAACCGTCAAGTTAATATTTGTCATGGTTAAGTTCACATGTTAATCTTAATTTACTAAACTATATAGAGGGCTATATGGAATAGGTCCATTATCCTTATTCATTACTCTATCACTATTCTTAAATATCTCTAAGCTTTCATATGCGTCTAGTTTTCTAATGTTATTAACTTGCTTAACTAATTTGAGGTTAGTAATATGTGTGTTATGATTGTGATTGAACATATGTTCGGCTACACAAGATTTATCTAACCTGCCATATTTTAAATGGGCTATGTGTTCTTTGAACCTTGTTTTTATGGGTCGCCTGGTTTGGCCTATATATGTTTTATCACAATCATTACAACTTATTTCGTATATTCCCGACTTTTCAAGTGTGTCCACTTTATCTTTCGGATTGCCTAATAAATTGCCTAATTTTGACCCAGACTGATAAACGCTTTCAAAACCTAAGTCTTTGAAAACCTTATCAAGTCCCTTCGTATACTTGGGATTGTACGGGATTGGGATTCTTCTAGAGTTCTTTTTATCCGCTTGAAAAGTCGTAGAATATCGAAGTGTTGACTTAAATTTATGTCTACGTATTAATTTATCTACTATTTTGATATCATACCCATTGACGCCAGCCACTTTATAAACAACATTTCTTTCAGCATTGAATCTTTCTTTGCTGAGAGGAAAGGAAATCAATCTGTGTACTAGAAAATTTAAACTTGCCATTTTGTGCTGAAAACAGTGATTGGAGTCATTAGGTATGTATCTAAATGTGTTAGTTTCTTTTCTAAAGACATCAAATTCTAGGTTGTTTTCGCTATTTTTGATCACAAGTACATCTAAGAAAGGTAATTAGCCTTGATTTTCGCATTCATAAGTGAATTTGATAGAGGGGAAGCAGTTATTCAATTTTGAAATAAAGTTATCAATATCTGTGGTTTTTGTATCAAAAATAGCAAAAATATCATCGACATATCTAATCCAAACCCTAGGGAAATACTCGAACTTTTCTTTTGCATTCCCTTCAAATCGATTCATGAACAGTTCAGCCAGGAAAGGCGATAAACAATTTCCCATAGCTGTACCTTCATGTTGTTCAAAAAATTCTTGTTTATATTGAAAAATATTTTGGCTCATGCAGAGATTAGTGAGATCAACCAATTCTTTAATATTATCTGGATCTAGATTGTTATATTCGAGTAATTCCTTTGAATATTCCAAAGTTGTTGGTATGGGTACACTTGGGAAAAGTGATGAAACATCAAATGATATAAGGATTTCACCTTCGGTCAGATTCAACCCTTTGACCTTTTCGATAAATTCAAGCGAATTTGAAACAGAATGATTGTTATAAGGATTATTCAAAGTTTTGAAAACTTCAACCAACCACTTTGAAATATTGTAAGTAGGAGACCCAATTGCGGACACAATTCAAAGTGGTTGGTTGAAGTTTTCAAAACTTTGAATAATCCTTATAACAATCATTCTGTTTCAAATTCGCTTGAATTTATCGAAAAGGTCAAAGGGTTGAATCTGACCGAAGGTGAAATCCTTATATCATTTGATGTTTCATCACTTTTCCCAAGTGTACCCATACCAACAACTTTGGAATATTCAAAGGAATTACTCGAATATAACAATCTAGATCCAGATAATATTAAAGAATTGGTTGATCTCACTAATCTCTGCATGAGCCAAAATATTTTTCAATATAAACAAGAATTTTTTGAACAACATGAAGGTACAGCTATGGGAAATTGTTTATCGCCTTTCCTGGCTGAACTGTTCATGAATCGATTTGAAGGGAATGCAAAAGAAAAGTTCGAGTATTTCCCTAGGGTTTGGATTAGATATGTCGATGATATTTTTGCTATTTTTGATACAAAAACCACAGATATTGATAACTTTATTTCAAAATTGAATAACTGCTTCCCCTCTATCAAATTCACTTATGAATGCGAAAATCAAGGCTAATTACCTTTCTTAGATGTACTTGTGATCAAAAATAGCGAAAACAACCTAGAATTTGATGTCTTTAGAAAAGAAACTAACACATTTAGATACATACCTAATGACTCCAATCACTGTTTTCAGCACAAAATGGCAAGTTTAAATTTTCTAGTACACAGATTGATTTCCTTTCCTCTCAGCAAAGAAAGATTCAATGCTGAAAGAAATGTTGTTTATAAAGTGGCTGGCGTCAATGGGTATGATATCAAAATAGTAGATAAATTAATACGTAGACATAAATTTAAGTCAACACTTCGATATTCTACGACTTTTCAAGCGGATAAAAAGAACTCTAGAAGAATCCCAATCCCGTACAATCCCAAGTATACGAAGGGACTTGATAAGGTTTTCAAAGACTTAGGTTTTGAAAGCGTTTATCAGTCTGGGTCAAAATTAGGCAATTTATTAGGCAATCCGAAAGATAAAGTGGACACACTTGAAAAGTCGGGAATATACGAAATAAGTTGTAATGATTGTGATAAAACATATATATAGGCCAAACCAGGCGACCCATAAAAACAAGGTTCAAAGAACACATAGCCCATTTAAAATATGGCAGGTTAGATAAATCTTGTGTAGCCGAACATATGTTCAATCACAATCATAACACACATATTACTAACCTCAAATTAGTTAAGCAAGTTAATAACATTAGAAAACTAGACGCATATGAAAGCTTAGAGATATTTAAGAATAGTGATAGAGTAATGAATAAGGATAATGGACCTATTCCATATAGCCCTCTATATAGTTTAGTAAATTAAGATTAACATGTGAACTTAACCATGACAAATATTAACTTGACGGTTAGTATTTTTCACAGTTGGGTGAACATATACCTAGTATATAAGCAGCACAGTAGAATAGGATATTTAGTTTTAATCTTCTCCTGAAGATGCTAACATAGTTAGCGAAACACGTGTCGAGGCGTTAAAAAATCGGTTTGGTTAGTGGTAAAACAGTGTAGTGTAAAGGTTTACCTATTCACAATTATTTTTCAAAAGCTCTACTGACAAAGGCGGATAATAATTCTAGTACGGAAAATAAGTCTAAGTTTATTGTTTATTGTTTATTGAAAAACTAGCTTCCAGTCAGAAATAAAATTCTGGTATGAGGAAGTTGATTACAAACAACAATAATAAAGTAATATAAGGTGACAACAACAAAAAAAAATCGAAAAAATCTAAAAATGCTAAATCGATCAAGTCATAAAAAATAGCCACAGGGACTAATCAATAGATGGCAAAGTATAAATTTTATCCATTTCGTAATGAAATCATGTATGTGACCAAATTAACTGAATAAAACAAATCGAATAGATAAAACTGTGAATTGAAATTATAAAATTATTTTCAACTATCGCCATCAAAATTTTCACAGATATCCACTGATTCGAAAAAGATCTACAGGGGGATTATCATACTCCACAAACAAATTAATGACTAAATCCAGGCCTGAAAATAGAATAATATTGTTACGTTATTCGGGTGCAGAAGCGAACACGACACTATTTATTTTCGAACTGATTTATTTGAACGAAAGGAACACTAATTTATATCGAACTTATAACTACTATTTATGTAAAACGATTTATATCACGCGGTATATGACTGTCTCTCTGACACTCGCTGCTTAACTGACTGACGGCAGTTGTCCGGCCGTTTATATATGAGATCCCTTGGTAGGCTTTGGTTCGAGAACGTTCTCGAATGATCTTCCGTCTCCTTCTTTTTGTTCTAGAAGCTTCTTAGAACAATACCTCTCTCTCTAATTGTTCCATCGATAACATTCCAGAATCTCACGTTATTTGTCACCGCGGCATATATTGAATGTTCGGAAATATGCTGGTGCATGTAGAAATCATTGGGAGGTTGGAGAACAATCTGGGATGCGTGATACAGGATGATCGTTGTACTCCTGCAGGAAGCTGATGTTTCTAGAGCCCCTCTAAGGGAAATATCATTACAATATGTTGATTTCCATTGAGGTGAAGCATTGAACTTGTATGTCTAACTCTTATTTGTAAAATTTATGAGTTGCGAAGTATCAATTCCTAAATTAATTATTTTTTTTGCCAAGTTTTCATTTTTTCATAAAATTCATACTTTTTTTCAGGCTGCAGTGAAAGAGTGAGAAAAATTTGGAATATTTTATTTCTGATGATGTTTGTGTGAGACCATGAGAATTCCCTATCACAGTTTACAAAAACGATATACAGGATGAACTTTTTGCTGTAAACTGAACTATCAAAATTTTTCAAGAACGGTCCTGGATTTTCCCGATTCTGAATAAGTCAGTTGATTAGAAAGTATTAGCGGAATATTCCATGAAAAAATCAGACGAATCGAAGAAGCTGTTGGAAAGTTATGACCAAAATTTGTTTTTGCCAAATCTCATAATTTACCCTATATATTGGTAAAGAAGGGAAGAAGCTACTTTCTGATGGTCATTAGGTTTTTCCCTCAAGTGCCTCTATTCGTGGTAGGATTATGTACAGTTCCTCATGACTCACCCTGTATTGTATTAGCTTTATATAGTCCAAACATCTGCAGCTCCTGATGAAACCAAACATCCCCTGTAAACCTTCTCGCGTTTCTCCATTCGATTGCCGCCACAAAGTCTCTGATTGGTTCCCGAATTCCAACTCACCAATCACAATGAGACACGCGAAACTTTAGCGCAACAAGCAGCGTTGCTGCGCATCCTGCTTCAGTCTGTTCATTTCTCTTCTTCTTGCTTTCTGGCTGCAGTGGCTTGTTTCTTGGCCAACCATTCTATGCGTACGAAAGTGAGAGTGCCTAGGCAGGCTGTGATCAGAAGAACGCCGAGTTGGCCGTAAAGCACCAGTGATTCGGCGTAGAAGAACGATATGGCTGCTCCGACAGACTGGAAAATTAATTATAATAGAGTTTTCTCCAAATGACATTAAAAGTGGATTTTTAATGACACTTTTAACAGGCAGAAAAGGTACAGGCAGAAAAAGTTTTTTGTTATGCAACGAACCAAGCAATACTTTGAATCAAATTGATAATCAAAACTGACAATGACTTTGGGAGAACAGAAAATGAAGGATTATTTGGACTTTGCGTGAAATTGGAAAGAATTTGGAGAAAAAAGCTAAAATCTAATATTTTTCCCGTGTATAATAGGTACACTAATTTTTTCTTTGACAGAAGAAAGGACGAATCAATATTGAGAAGATATTAGGTACATATTATTTTGAAATCTGAAAATTATCTACGTGAAATTTTAAGTTTTTAACAGTAGGGACACTTGCGTTGTAGGCATTTCATCATTCTTTTTTGAAGTAATCAAATATCTGATGTCACTTCTGTCAGTCTAATTCTGTGATTTGATTAAAAAAATTGCGAATTTAGTGGTTGTTTAGTAAAATACGTAACCGCGAAGTCGAATGGAAGATAAAAGGACTTGCAGTTCTTTCTCGGAGACGGTATTATTGACTCATTTTTCGGAACTATAGCACAACAAAAGCCATCAACAGTGTATATATATGTGATATATATTCGGGAAAAAAAGTACTCACTTTTTTCCCACGGGTAAAGAGTAATTTGTGAAAAGTGACATTTTATAACCTGCCAACAGTGATGAAATGCCAAACTTTTGTCCCGTCACAGAAAAAATAACTATTTTTCATCTTTATCCTTGTGATAAATAATTTCTTCTCTGCACCCTTACATATACAGGGTCCTGCATCACACCGCAGAAAATTATAACAAGAGAATAATCTTTGTTGATTAACAATCAGGTAGATTGAGTGTGTAAGTAGAGTGTATATGAATATATAACAACTCTTCACCTGCTACATACTGGAAATTATATAAATTGAACAACAAAATATTTATCAGAACTAAATATACAATTCACATTTGTAATCTTTCGGGAGGATATCTGATTCTATTAGATCTTCTAACTTCATTCGAAATCCTCGCATCACCTGAAGTGGATTCTGTAGAAAGCAATGTACTGCTGATGAATGGAGAGCATGAATTTTCAGGGTGTATTTTTTGTTTATTATACTAATAATGGAACGCGGAACTGTAGTACATGTAGATGTACATGCCGAAGGTAATGATTCAGTATTTTATACTACTTTAGAATCTTTATTAATATTTTTCATTTGATAGGGAGTCAATATAGGAACTTGAACAGAACGCAATTCATCTATATGTCTACGCCAAGTTATACCATCATCAAGAGTAGGTAATCAGATAGGGCAATGTGCCAAATAGCCATCTTGACTTTTCAGAATAGTGTCTAACACCAACACGTTCACCGATTTGAAATTCTTTCTTCACCTCACGCGTCTCATACTGATTGAAGTCATTCATTGGCTTCAACAAATCAATATTTGATCTTATTTCTCTTTCAAACATCAGTTTCGAAGGACTTATCCCTGTGCCGGAATGTGGTGTTTTTCTATATTGCAAGAGAAATTTGCACAATGCCATTTGCCGATCAGTACCTCTACCTTTTAAAGCCCTGGGTGATTGTTTCAAAGTTTGAACACAACGTTCTGCAAGCCTATTTGTTGCCGATAGGAGCAGTCAATTTATGTAGTACTCCATTATTTTTAAGGAACATTTTGAACTCGTATGAAGTAAATGAGGATCCATTATCAGTGACATAAACTTTTGGAATTCCAAAAGTACCAAATATTCTCCTAATTACTGATAAAATGAAACTTGTACTGATATTTTTGAAAATATGAATTTCTGGCCATTTAGTAAACGCGTCTACTAAAACCCAGCCAACCATCGTGTGACATCAACATCTGTGTGATGTAACAACCTTGCATGAATGCAATATCTCGTTAACACATCTTATCGACGTAGATTCGATATCAACGTCGCAAGGTGACATCGCGACCAGGAAACTATGTAATGTGGCAGAGACTTCTTCAAACTACATCTCTTCGACGTTAACTAAATAATTCACATTGATATCCTTATGAGATATCTTTGTGACCTGTGAGTGTGACGCAGACATGCGCAAAACGAACGCACACGCCAGACGCCATGTTGAGCTGTGCATGGCCATGTCAGTCAGTGAATGAGTCCGACTCCGTACAGACTATTTCCTTCCAAATTCTCTGTTGAAATATCTGAGATGATTTATAGCACACATATTATTATAGCAGTTTCAAATTGGAGGTATACAATCATTTAAGAACGACGGTCGTGAGTTCAATCACAATAGGTAATATTGTGATTACCTCTGAGATAGGACTATTGCAATCTAAAACAAGGTGGATGAAAGATCCCAAGATAATGTAAGTGTATTTGATATGTATCATTTATGAATAATGTGTATTTGTATTGTATTGCTATATATATGTGTCATGTTTTACTTCAAGATTACTAATTAGGGTGATTGTCATGATAAGTTTTGTATCATCTGTTTTTACTTTCGGAAAATAAACATTTCCTTCGTAAAGTTGAATGATTATTATTATTATATATCCCACGAATATCACAGCAGGTACGGCGACCACATCATCGATGTCGCAGTGTGATGTATTTGTAATATGAAATGTACACTTGTATGTGACCTGGTGGTGATTTTGCATGTGATGTCGCATTTCATGTCTGAACGACGTCACAGTGATGTTGCTTGAGTCGGACATTTTCACATCGCCACGTTGTATCGGTAGCATGTTTGTGACTTCAAATGCGATATCGCATGTCACAAAGTGATGTAGCGTATACATCACTTATACATCTCATGGTTGGCTGGGAATGAAATAAATATCACCCATGAAAGGTCCAGCGAACTTGCTGGCATCCAAGAATGACCCGTAATTTTGGCAGGATCATTTTTATCCCCGTCACATTCAAGATAACTTTTACAAACACTGTAATGTCACTTGTGATATTTGGCCACCAGCAGTAACTCCTAGCTGATGCTTTCATTTTGACCATGCCAAAATGTGCCCTATATACTTCTTCCAAAACACGTTTTCTTAATGATGATGGTATCACAGCAGTTTGCCCTCTAAAAATACATCCGTTTGGAGAACTCAATTTGATCCAGATTGAATCTATCATGCTTAGTGAAGATAAACAATATGAAATGGGGAAAAGATAACCAAGTCCCTAAGGAGCAAATGTTTTGTTGGTCTAATGAAAACCTAACTAACAACTCACTCAGTAGTCTGGATTATTAAAAATGCAACAAGTCAACAAGGGAATACACCAGGGAAACCCAGTTGAGCCTAAAGAGAGCTCACTAGGTTATTCCAGATGTAATCAAAAGTTGAATAGATTCATCTGTCTGGCAACCTATTAACACAAAAAAGGTTTGAGAATCCGGTTTGTGACAAATTATTCTCAGAAATCTTTGTGAAAACTCAAGCTCCCAACTGTGAAGGAAGTGAAAACTCTAATGAGAACTTCCACAACCCACCAAAAAGGAACATCAAGGAGCCACTCCAACTCTGGAATATGAAAAGAAAAGAAACCATTGGTGTTCTCAGTGTTATGGAAAACTGCTCCGAAAGATAGTGTACAAATTGCTGTTTTGGATATCTAATTATTTATTTATTTATTTACCAAAATAGGGGTTACAAACAGATTGAAAATCCAAAACTGAACCCTCTACATAATTTTCTAGTGGGCTTAACAAAAATTAAAATATATTATAAACAAAGTAACTAAAAGTGAAGAGTATTGAAGGAAATGGTATACATATACAGTGAAAATGAATGCGATCGCTCGTATGGCACCAACCTGGAGATGGTCTAGAGATAGTCGATGAAATATTTTTTCATTTTGAATTCGAAACAATCCAGACTTAGTTCGAAATGATTCAGATCATTACAGGTGCTGTTGAATATTCTGAGCATCCTACATAATGGTGCATTTTGTGCAGCGTTTGTTTTTTAAAAGGAATTTTGAAAATTTCTAGGCGTCTAAGTAATCTACTTTGAACATTGAATTCAATTTTCGAAACAAGGTTTGGACTCTGCGCTAGTCTTTTCATTAGTTTGGAAATTGTTAATAGATCTGTAACATTTCTTCTATCTTTGAGAGCTAACATGCTGTGTTCACGCATCACTGATGGTGTGTAGTCACTATTTATTATTTCGATATTCGATTTGTAAGCAATAAATCTGAGGATTTTTTTCCCTCTTAATTCTGTCAATATGAATTTGATATTGGGGATTCCAAACAACGGATGCGAAACAAACTTTACTGTGCACATAAGCATAATAAATAATCAAAAGACATTTTATATTCATAAAACTGTGACAACTTCTTTTCAAGAATCCTATCATTTTATTGCATTCGTTGATTTTTTTTCTATGTGCGATTTGAATGTCAATTATTACCCCGAGATCGTTAACTTCCGATACTGATTTCAGCTCATGATTTTCGATTTTGTATGTATAATTCAGTTTATTCTTGTTCCTGGTATATGTGATTGAGATGCATTTGTCAATTTTCAAAAGTATACTATTATCATCACAGAATAATGAAAGACGGTTCAAATCTTCGTGTATTTTTCTGCAGTCGCTTATATATCCTTCACAGTGTTATAAAGTTTCAAGTCGTCTGCATATAATAGAATTGAACAAAATTTGAAAGATTTGATTATTTCATTTATATGAATTATGAAGAACAATGGTCCTAAGTGACTGCCTTGGGGGACCCCATATGTTGCTTCAAAGGAATCTGAATTGAATCCGTTGAGTGTTACAACCTGTGTACTGCCAACCAAGTAAGACCAAATCCATCGCAATAGGAATGTGGTCACACCAACTTCAGCCAGACTTTGTATCAAGATGTTGTGACTAATTTTATCGAAAGCCTTGCTGAAATCGGTGTACACAGCATCCACCTGAACTTGATCGTCCATTGAGTCTAGCAAAAAGTTTGTGAAATCTATCAAATTCGTTTCTATCGATCTTAGAGGAAAGAATCCGTGGTGTTCTTGAATTATTATATCTCTAGCTTGATCAAAGCTTACGTTGTAAATAATTTTCTCGAAAAGTTTGCCAAAAATGCATAATTTGCTTATGGGTCTTTAATTTTTGATATTGTGTCTATCACCACTTTGTGAATTGGAATAATCTGAGAGGCTTTCCATTCAGAAGGAAAGATACCATTTCGAAGAGAAAAATTATAAATATATATGAGAGGTGGAACTAAGTTGTCTTTGCATTGTTTAATGAACGATACTGGAATATCGTCTGGACCTGCACATTTTTTTGAGTCCAGTGAGCGTATGGCTAGTTCTAAGTTATTAGGCTTGATTTTCATTTCATCTGATGGTAAATTCGTGAATATTGGATTTTCTCTAATAGTCGGCTGGACATAAGTATTTCTGAATCATAGAGAAAAAGGAGTTTTGATAGTTCTGTGGAAAAATATTCGGATTGAATTGATTATTAGGCTATTTTAACCTTCTATGAAGTGGAATATTTGATCTGTTCAAATTAACCTGGGTCACAGAATACCCAACCCTGGGTATTCAAACAATAGCACAGAATAGGGTATTCTGTGACAATATAGTCAATTCGGCGACGTATCCGGATCACTCACCTGCATGAATTTGAAGAGGGCGAAAGCTGACGCACTATTATCCGCATAAACCGACCCCAACAATGACAATATCTGCGTGTTGTAGCAGGAATCGCCGAAGCCCAGCAGGAACGAGCAGAAGATGGCGAGATAAGCATTACTGGTGATGTAGGCCGTATCGTCGGTCTCCCCGAAGGGCGAATTGTTCGGCAGGTTGATGAAAACGAGGAAGAAGGCGGCGGCGTGGATGAGGAAGCCCGCGGCCACGATGGGGTCTCTGCCCCACTTGATGGTCTTGCTGCCCAGGATGCCGAATAGCACGCCACCTAGGAAGATACGTACGTATTGTTAAATTATCATTACGAGAAAGAACACACTTAGGGAGTAGAAGGTCATTTTCAATTAGGACAGTGAACGATGGAGTCTCTGCCTCATTTGATGGTCTTGATTCCCAGGATGCCGAATAGCACGCTATCTAGGAAGATACGTGCGTATTGTTAAATTATTATTACGAGAAAGAACACACTCAGGAAGTAGGTCATTTTTAATTAAGACAGTAAACGATTGGGTATCTGCTCCAATTGATGGTCTTGCTGCCCAGAATGCCGAATAGCACTCCACCTAGGAAGATACGTGTGTATTGTCAAATTATAATTACGAGAAACAACACACTTAGGAAGTAGATGGTAATTTTTAATTAGGACAGTAAACGTTGGAGTTTCTGCCCCATTTGATGGTCTTATTATTACGAGAATGAATGCACTCAGGAAGTCGAATGTCATTTCTAATTAGGACAGTAAACGATGGAGTATCTGCCCCATTTGATGGTGTAGCTGCTCAGGATGCCGAACAGAACGCCACCTAAGAAGATAAGTGCGTATTGTAAAATTATTATTACGAGATTGAATGCACTCAGGAAGTAGAAGGTCATTTCAATAAGGAGAGTAAACGATGGAGTCTCTGCCCCATTTGATGGTCTTGCTGCCCAGGATGCGGAATAGGACGCTACCTAGGAAGATACGTGCGTATTGTTAATATTACGAGAAAGAACACACTTAGGAAGTAGAAGGTCATTTCTAATTAGGACAGTAAACGATGGAGTTTCTGCCCCATTTGATGGTTTTGCTGTACAGGATGCCGGATAGCCTGCCAGCTAGTAAAAGATATACGTGCGTATTGTCATAATATTAATATTACGAGAATGAATGCACTTAGTAAATAGAAGGTCATTTTAATAAGGACACGATGGAGTATCTGCCCCATTTGATGGTCTTGTTGCCCAGGATGCCGAATAGCTTGCCAGCTAGGAAAATACGTGCGTATTGTCAACTTATTGTTATATACGGAAAAGAACACATTTGGGATGCAGAAGGACAATTTTAATTAGGACAGTGAACGATGGAGTCTCTGCCCCATTTGATGGTATTGCTGCCCAGGATGCCGAATAGCTTGCCAGCTAGGAAGATACGTGCGTATTGTCAAATTGGTATTACGAGATTGAATGCACTTATATAGGTAGTAGACGGTCATTTCTAAATAGGACAGTGAATGATGGAGTCTCTGCCACATTTGATGGTCTTGCTGCCCAGGATGCCGAATAGCACGCTACCTAGGAAGATTTTTTTATGTTCTGGTTCCCACGAAAAGGGATATCCTGTGATGTACAGAGAAATCGTGAGAGCCCAGGGAAATAATGTTGGAATTGGTGTTTTTCTTGAATTTCTGAAGTTTATATGCCTCGGGGAACACCTCCCTTGGCAATGTGTTACAGAGCATCGCTGTTCGTTAGATGAACGAGTCTTAGGAAAGAGATGTTCTGCAGGTCTTCAAAGTGACCACGAAGGGGTGAGAAGTCTCAAATATCGCGGGGACAGCCAAAGGAGGAACAATTTCATATTTCAGAAGAGCATCTTCCATGAAAATATCTATAAAATAGAGCCAGATCGCCAACTTTCCTACGGTGTTCCAGAGAAGTGAGTGAGTTTGTGAGCGAGGCATCACCCACGAGACGAATTGCCCTTTTTTTTGACAGAATCCAACAGTTTGCAGGCTGCACTCCAAATATGGGTACAGTATTCCAGGATAGGTCGGATCTGTGCCTTATAGATCATAAGCAGCAGACTGGAAGTGAAATAGCTCCTGGCCCGAAAGAGAAAACCAAGTTTTTGAGATGCACTTTTAGCAATTGATCTCACTTGATTTTCCCAAGAAAGGTTATTGCTGATAGTAATAACAAGCATCGAAATGGATGTCTTCAAAGGTATGGTTACTCCTGACAAGCTTATGTTGGGCACAGTGAGATCGGCTTTTCTAGAGAAAAGGTATGCTTGTGTTTTGTTTGCATTGAAATCTACCAAGTTATTGGATCCCCATTCGAGAATTGTTGCCAAGTCCATATTTATGTTGTCAACATTTCTCCCTCGTTCGTTTCTGATTTGCCTGATGGCTGGTATTGGAGCCCTGGAAGAGAAGGCGGTATGGAGGGTACTATCATCCGCGAAGCGGATATCGTTGATATGAAGTAGAAATAGTGTTGATTGGATTGATCCTTGCGGAACACCAGCATTTATGATAAGAGAATCAGATGAAACTCCGTCGACCACTACATGGAGAGACCTGTTTGAGAGAAAACTAGCTAGCAGAGAACATAGCTTGGGAGGCAAGCCATAAGATGGGAGCTTGGCGAGGAGTCCGTGGTGCCAGACTCGATCGAATGCCTTGGAGATATCAAGTGCCACGGCTAAGGTTTCACCATATTTTTCAATAGATTGCTGCCATATATGTGAGACGTAAGCGAGCAGGTCACCAGTTGATCTCTGATGGAAGCCATATTGCCTATCGTTGATAATACCTGAATGTTCCAGGTATTCCATGAGCTCAATATTGTCAAATTATCATTACGAGAATAAATGCACTTAGGGAGTAGAAGGTAATTTTCAATAAGGCAGTAAACGATGGGGTCTCTGCTCCATTTGATGGTCTTACTCCCCAGGATGCCGAACAGCGCGTTACTTTGAGACGGAAGATACGTGCATATTGTAATGAAGCAACAATATTATTACTAGAATGAATGCACTTGGGATGTAGAAGATCATTTGTAATTAGGACAGTAAACGATGAAGTCTCTGCCCCATTTGATGGTTTTGCTGTCAAAGATGCCGAACAGCACGCCACGAAACATACGTGTGAATAAAATGATATTTTCTCTACATAACCTCGAAATCCTCTGTGTAAGAATAAACCACTCAATTGCCAATTAGAATGCACTGAAAATACGCCAGTCAGTCATCACTGGGCCAATAAAGAATAAGCAATAAATGAAAGTACTGCTTTGCCAATATTGGCCAGTGGACAACTTTTGTGATTTACCATTGTTTATCTTCGACAATGAAGTATAAATTTGATTGATTGATTGATCATAAAGTATTTCTAATACTCTCAACTTTTATCACAATGATTATGGTAATAACCACACTTACCTAGTACTTCCCCCACACCGATGAATATCCCAGATATACCGACCAGCTCTTTCCCTTCGCTGAAGGACTTCGTGAAACCTATGCAGGAGCTGTAAACGCCACTAAAGAAACCCAATTCCAGACCTGAAACAATCACGACATAAAAATTTTCTCATCTGGGTAGTTGGGTGATCTGAGGGTAAAGGTGCTTAAAAAAGCGAACATATCATAGCAAGATAAGGCATTTTTTGCTTCCAAAATATTGGTCTAGAATTGCTGAGGAACATGTTCGAAAACAAACGGCGAAGTTATGAAACGCCTGGAGACAAAGTGAGAACATTTTGAACATTCAATGTTGGTTTACAATGAAATAAACTGTCATTTACTTCTTCAAAAATTCTGTCCCTAGCTGTATAAAAACTCATGAGAGAATCGAGCCATTCACCCATAACAAACTACACTCTAAAGACCTTCAACTTCAATGGACTGACCTTGTTCCATTTTCTAGTTCAGCAACCAAACAATAGATGGCCATTTGACATGATGATCCGTGATGTGTGATAGTGCCCAGGCGCAGTCATTGGTTTCAAAATGGCGTTAATATTTTGTTTTCTGATTATTACAGGTGTTAACACTTTGCATTTTGATAACTTGCTCTCATTTACCGACCATTTTTCTTCAACAGTTTTTGTAAATGTTTGGAGGATTTACTATTTACGAACGCTTCTCTTTATGTGAAATATTTGAAAATATCTCATGAATCATTCGAAATGGCCTCTATTCGAAGAAGTTGAGCCACCAAACACCAGAGGCGCTGATGGCGAAAATGGAACAAGAGGTTAATATGTGCGTTGGCCATCTAGGAGACTGTAGTTTATCTCTGCACTTACCAGTATACAAGAAAGTGACGCTCAGCATAAGCATATCCTTAGTAACGAATAACTTTCCAGCTCCGATGATGGCCTGCAGAGGACCTTCTGGCGCCACCTCCCGCACTTCGTCCTCGTCGGCGTCTTCTTCTTTTTCTTTAGTGGCTCGAGGCAGGAACACCAACAAAACGATGCCGCTCAGGCAGACGGCAGACAATGTCCATATCACCAGCGATCTAGTGCCCTTTTCTATCTGGTCTTTGCCCCTGAAGGCGAAGTAGACGAATAGGTTTCCTAAGAACATGCTGAAACGAGAAGTAGAATAAAATAGTGAAATTTCAGCGTCCTCTCTCTCTCTCTCTTTGGTGGCTGAGGCAGACACCAACAATATTTTTCCTATTCATTATTTCTTTCCATCTGGTACTACTGCAGCCATTCGTGACTTAAATCGCTATTCATCTCCGATTTCAAATAACTATAGGTACTGCCGCATAATGTTGAAAACTCTTCAATCAAGAGAGAGTAGTGAAGTGTGCAAATTAATAATGAAAATCTTTATTATTCCCAAGAAACAAAGATGTTTATAGCAGGGAAAATTATGAAAGCTCAACTAAAAACAAAAAAAACAAAAAAATGAGATAATCAGATAATCATTTTTGAATCATATACATAGTACATATAATGTTGTTTCTTCTAGAGACTGTTGTATATAAGTTCTTGAATTGATTTAGGATGATATAAGAGAATCAAATGCATAAGTATTTTTTCAGTTTTTTTTTGAATTTGGCAAACACTTGACTTTTTCTGCAGTCTGGCCGGTAATTCATTATAGAGAATTGTTCCATTGTATAAAATAGATCTTTTACCTATATCTGATTTGATTTTGATGAGAGTTAACATATCTTGTCTGGTTATGTGTTCGTGTTTACGACTATTGACTTCGAAATTCAGATCTGAATGTTTATAATTATGTTTGACGGAATGAATGAAATTTAATATTTTGAATTTGTAAATGGAGTTGATATCTAACAATTGCCTAGGTTTATAAAGATTTCTTGTTGGTTCCAAGTAATCTAGTTTGTATATACATTTAATACCTTTGTTTTGAAGGATTTTGATTGGCTTCATAATTGATAATCTAGCTGTACCTCAAACTGAAATCAAGTATTGTAATTGTGCATAAACCAAAGAAAAATATATACTTTTCAAGTATTTCAAAGTGATTTGGTGTCTGATCCTGTAGAGTACTCCGATTACTGGAGATATTTTCTTTCTGATCGATTCAATATGTTCGGACCATGACAAATATGTTCATCAAGGAATATCCCAAGGAATTTGATGGCTGTGGAATATTTAATGATTTCATTATTGAATTTGATATCAAATTTAAGTTCACTTGAGAGGCGTCGTTTAGAGATATACATGAATGCTGATTTGCTGTAATTTATACTCAATTTATTATAGGACAACCATGAAGATAAATTAATCAAGTCACTTTCAATTGCATTTCTGATTTGTTGGATTCAGTCTGCGGAATGAATCAATGTAGTATCATCAGCAAACATGTAAACTTTTCCTTTCAATTTGATGTTAACAATCGAGTTGATATATATCAAAAATAATACAGGGCCTAAGATTGACCCTTCTGGTATTCCACATATAATTTCATTAGCTGTACTCGAAACTGTTCCTTGATGAACAAATTGCTTTCTACCACTCAAATAATTTGGAGCCCAACTTTAGAGTCGATCATCGGTGCACTTGTCATTACTTCGAATTATCTGACAAAAAATATAATTGGATGTTTTGCTGTCGATGGTGTCTTGCTTGAACCACTAGATGATGACAATAATAACATGGCAAAATCTTCATGATACTGTATCCACTTATATCTCGACTGTCTTCCAAATTTAGCTGTTAAGCCGCAGTACTAATCATTTCAATTTTGGATCTGAGATTCAAGTCTACATGAGTCCTTCACTATAACCCCTCTGTCATATATTTCACTCGAAAGATCCAGCTCCATGAGGCGTAGATTATTCTATTGGGAAAGTGATTTTTCTGGACTCGTGGATGGTGTATTAAGTACGTATATCCAATAGTGATGAAGTTTTAGTAATAGTGATTGTTCGGCAGTGCTTGATAAATTCCCAAAATAATAAGTATGTTTATTCAATATCATTCATGTCGGAATGTCCTGGAATCCAAACCAGGAACATATTGTTAAGTCTGCTTATCGAGGAGTTATTATGAGTTGATAGGTACGACTACCGTCGTTGATCAGAACAGAATCTATTGTATATAAATAATGTTTAACAAGCGTTATCTGATCAATCTGACCATCGATAACAATAGTTGACCTATAAACATTGATAATTCCTGTATTTTTATATTTCGACTTAATATAATGTTATCTCGTGAAGGTGTGGTTGATCAATTCTTATCAGAACAGAATAATCAAACATCATCAGTTACCTTAATCCATCCTTCTGAGAAAGTTTCAATCATTCATGTGCATTCAATCTCACTAATCCCATTTATTAAAGAATGGTTAAGATATCAAAATTTGTGTCAAACTACGATACAAAGTCAGTTTCTTATTATATTATTATATTCAGCGGAAATTACCTCAGTTGTAGTAGTGCCCAAAACACTCCTGAATTCCTGGAAATGTACCTCTTAGAGGAATTGAGGGTGAGGTAGTTACCCTGTCCAGTCCAGATCATGGCAGCTCCGATCCCGATCACAGCGCTCATCAAATACAATAGCCATGACATTGGTATCAAAAACGACATTATGAATAATCTAAAAAAAAAACTCAAATTAATGATGACTGCTCAGTTTCATATCAACGATGTTATATAATTTCCCACGCATTGGGCGCCATTTGTGTGATGAATGATAAATTAACGAGAAAGATGCAATATCACAAGTCATGTATTCCTTAGGAGCTATCTTTGAAGAGTGTTGAGACAAAGTTGAAATTTCCAATCGATATTATAATATTGTGGAGTTAGTAGCGATTTCTTCTAGTTCTATATTTTCTATTTTATATCAAGGTTATTTTCTGACTCACTTTGTCAATAAGATTGTACCGGGTGATTCAATAAGGGTGACGAGGTACTGTATCTCAGAAACTAATAGTCGTAGAGGTTTGGGAAAAAAATTCTTTCGAGGAAATCGACCAAGAAAAATTTGCTGGAAATATTTTTTGAATCCATACGTCCACCGCTAGAGCGTGATAGCTTCGATCGTATGAAAAATTTAATTTTTTCGAATTTTTTCCAATATAAGTTAAGAAATGAATACTCTCACGTCAATGTCATCATGATGGTCCATCTTTTTGTTGAATAGATTTTCATTTTAGGACGTAAAATGAAGGCGGGAGGGAATGCTAAACTTTTTGGACTGTAAATGTCTATAACTTTAGTTTGACGTATCGGAAATTTGCTAACAAGGTTTTGTTCGTGAAAGGAAGGCTTGGTGAACAAATTAAAAAACCATCTATGCCATTCTGGTTATCATCGCGCTCGTTAGGAGGCGTGTTTTATAAATTTAACCGTTTTTTCAATTTTGCTCCGAAATCTTAAATGGAACCGTATGATTTTTTTATTAGATTCCGAAAGAAGATAAAATTTGCAACACAACATGTCCAAACCGCATGGCGATATCTTCATTTGTTTAAAAGTTATGGCTCAAAGAATAGTTCATTGACGAATTTATTGATGAAACAACATATTTTATTGAGTTTTCAATTTTTTTTGTAATATGCGTAGACAAGCATGCCATGAACAAATAAAAAAAACGAAGAAAAAAAGTCATTTAAAAACTTTACTATATTAGTTAGTAGCGTAGGTATTAAAATTCAAATATATCCAATTTCTTAGAAAGCCGTGAAAACACTTGGTAGACAGTTTCTATGAAAACGCCGATTTTCCACAAATAGACAGTTTATTATTTGACATTCGAATTTGTAAAGAACCTAATTTAAAGTTCAGAAAATGCCGTATACGAACGAGGAAGCTTTTGATATGTTATCAGTCTATTTTGAATGTCTTCAACATGCCGCTATAACCGAAAGAGAATACGCATTTAGATATCCTGCACGACGTCATCATTCAAGAAATGTTTTCAAAAGATTAGCTAAACGATTGAAGGAAACCGGACATGTCCAGGCAGTCGCATCCCCAAATAGAGTACGGAGAACAAGAAATGAAGTCAATATTATAAATGTGCTTATATTACTACCGACCCTCATTTAAGCATAAGAGATTTGGTAAGAGATCTCGGATTGACATATTCCTCAGTTCAACGTATATTAAGAGACAATAAATTACATCCGTACCATGTGAATTTACATCAAGAATTAAAACTAGCCGATTTCGACCATCGACTGGACATTTGTTATTGGCTGTTGGGGATGGTGAACGAAAACAGAACTTTTCTATCTCAAATATTATGGACTGACGAGGTCACTTTCTGCAGTTCAGGGAAAGTTAATACTCATAACATGCACTATTGGTCCGAAACAAATCCACAATGGTTAAGGGTAGTTCAATTTCAAAATCGATGGAGCGTGAATGTGTGGTGCGGGATTTTGGGCGGAAGAATTATTGGGCCATATTTTTTTGATCAGCATTTAAATGGCGTAATTTATCTTCAATTTTTAGAAGGCGAGTTACCCATACTGTTAGAAGATATTCCTCTGGAGGACAGAATCAACATGTGGTTTCAACAAGATGGATGCCCAGCCCATTATGCTCGAAATGTTCAGAATTTTTTAAATATGCAGTTTCCGGATAAATGGATAGGTCGGAACAGCATTTTCTCTTGGCTGGCGAGGTCTCCCGACCTTACTGTCCTGGATTTTTATTCATGGGGTAGGCTTAAAGACCTATAGTTTATAAAGACCGTTGATGATATGAAAGACAGAATTCGGGAAGCCATTAGAAACATTTCCGCGGCCGAAATTGAAGCTAGTGTGTCATCCACAACTCCACAACTGAAAGACTTGAATTATGCGTGGCCAATAACGGTGGACATTTTGAACATTTGAAACTTTGAATTTTTTTGATAGTAGAGTTTGTTCAATAATGTAAATATCGTAATTGTTGTTTTCTTGTTTGTATTTGTATTTTTCCATGGCATGCTTTGACTACGAAATTTGAAAAAAAAAATCAAAACTTAATTACCTCTTATGTTTCATCAATAAATTCGTCAATGAACTATTCTTTGAGCCATAACTTTTAAACAAATGAAGATATCGCCATGCGGTTTGGACATGTTGTGTTGCAAATTTTATCTACTTCCGGAATCTAATGAAAAAATCATACGGTTCCATTTAAGATTTCGGAGCAAAATTGAAAAAACGGTTAAATTTATAAAAACACGCCCCCTAACGAGCGCGATGATAACCAGAATGGCATAGATGGTTTTTTAATTTGTTTACCAAGCCTTCCTTTCACGAACAAAACCTTGTTAGCAAATTTCCGATACGTCAAACTAAAGTTATAGACATTCACAGTCCAAAAAGTTTAGCATTAGAAGGGCTATGCCAGTTCTGGCTCAAGCCAATCAGAGACCAGCATTTGGTTGGAGGCCACACCCACTAAAAACCAGCGCGAAATTCAAATTATTCATACGACGTCACGTCGCCATCGTGAATAAATAAATTAAAAAAAGCTGTCACCGCTGGGGGGAATTGAACCAGGGACCTTTGCATTATGAGGCAGCGTATATACGCACTGTGGTATTCCGACCTCCGTGATATTCCAATTATTTTAATGCTATTCAAACGGGATATCCATAGCTGGCGCGCGCGCTTATCTTTGCAACGGATCTATCGAGGTAGAGTGAAGCGAGAGATGCATTCCAGAGATAAGAAACTTCGAGTCGAAAATAATATCCATCGCAGGCGCGCGCTTATCTTTGCAACGGATCTGTAGAGGTACAGTGAAGCGAGAGATGCATTCCAGAGATAAGAAACTTCGAGTCGAAAATAATATCCATCGCAGGCGCGCGCTTATCTTTGCAACGGATCTGTAGAGGTACAGTGAAGCGAGAGATGCATTCCAGAGATAAGAAACTTCGAGTCGAAAATAATATCCATCGCTGGCGCGCGCTTATCTTTGCAACGGATCTATCGAGGTAGAGTAAGGCTCGAGCGCTCGGCGCTGCAACGTTGTCGGACGTATGTGTTTGGATGTTAATATTGTTACATTATTGTGTGTGGGAGTTACCTCGTGACTTGCTGATAGTAGACGCGGATGTTCTGGAAAAACCCATCTGGAACGACTGCTGATATCGATAATTTCTTGCGTCATTCTTATCGTGTATTTTGTTTATGCGACTAGTTGGGTTTTTTTTTTGTGGTTTTGATAACCTCCAACGTTTCCTGTTATGCTGCTGATTGTGAAATTGTTAGGTTTTTTGTCGTTTCGATAACCTTCGACGTTTCCTGTTATTCTGCTGATTGTGAAATTTGTTGTTGGGTTTTTTGCGGTTTTGATAACCTCCAACCTTATCTGTTATGCTGTTGATTGCGAAATTTGCTGTCGCTGCACCCGTGTAGAGATAAGCGCGCGTCAGCGATGGATATTATTTTCGACTCGAAGTTTCTTATCTCTGGAATGCATCTCTCGCTTCACTGTACCTTTACAGATCCGTTGCAAAGATAAGCGCGCGCCAGCGATGGATATTATTTTCGACTCGAAGTTTCTTATCTCTGGAATGCATCTCTCGCTTCACTGTACCTCTACAGATCCGTTGCAAAGATAAGCGCGCGCCTGCGATGGATATTATTTTCGACTCGAAGTTTCTTATCTCTGGAATGCATCTCTCGCTTCACTGTACCTCTACAGATCCGTTGCAAAGATAAGCGCGCGCCTGCGATGGATATTATTTTCGACTCGAAGTTTCTTATCTCTGGAATGCATCTCTCGCTTCACTCTACCTCGATAGATCCGTTGCAAAGATAAGCGCGCGCGCCAGCTATGGATATCCCGTTTGAATAGCATTAAAATAATTGGAATATCACGGAGGTCGGAATACCACAGTGCGTATATACGCTGCCTCATAATGCAAAGGTCCCTGGTTCAATTTCCCCCACCGGCGGTGACAGCTTTTTTTAATTTATTTATTCACGATGGCGACGTGACGTCGTATGAATAATTTGAATTTCGCGCTGGTTTTTAGTGGGTGTGGCCTCCAACCAAATGCTGGTCTCTGATTGGCTTGAGCCAGAACTGGCATAGCCCTTCTACTAGCATTCCCTCCCGCCTTCATTTTACGTCCTACAATGAAAATCTATTAAAAAAAAAGATGGACCTTTAGGATGACATTGACGTGAGAGTATTCATTTCTAAACTTATATTGGAAAAAATTCGAAAAAATTACATTTTTCATACGATCGAAGCTATCACGCCCCCTAGCGGTGGACGTATGGATTCAAAAAATATTTCCAGCAGTTTTTCTTGGACGATTTCCTCGAAAGAATTTTTTTCCCAAACTTCTACGACTATTAGTTCCTGAGATACAGTACCTCGTCACCCTTATTGAATCACCCGGTACAAATTCAGCCAAAAAACGACTTGATGAATAATCTGGAAAACGAACTTAAATCAATAATGACTGCTTAGTTTTATATCAACGATGTAACATAATTTGCTCGCCCTAGACTCTGGTGAAATTTCTGGACTGAATACTTACGGCAAATAACAGAGAATACAACACACAACTGAAGAATCAGATAATAAAACAAATATCTTTGAATATTCGCATCTTGACTCGATGAAAACAGGATTTGAAGATGAAGGTGACGTTAAAAAGTTGGGTTGACAATGTAGTTCATCTCCTTCTTCTCTTCTCGCATTCTTTGGAACTCTAGGCATTACGCTGTTGCCAGTGCCACAAAATAATTTGGGTTTAAAGGAAAGCTCGATCATTATTAACAATACTAGGATATTTTCATTAGTACTGAAGCATCTGGCAAGTATATAAGGTGATCAGGATTCTGAATCTTGAAGCACCCTGTATTTTTTCCAATTAAATTCCATTAGATAGTGAATCAAACGTTAAGATAGAAACATGTAAGCCATTTTGATCGATAATGAATAGTTTCGGCACAAAAAAATCATAAAATTGAAAAATCTCGATTTTGAACACCCTATATCTCTGTAATCATTCCTGCTAGACCCCAAGTGTGATGCATTGATGAAATCAGCTTTTCAGGAAAAATCTGAAAATGCAATAAAATACAGGGTGTTCCATTTGAAATAACAAAGTTGCTAGTTGTTTCTGATAGAAGTGGCCACACTGTATCGATGAAAATATTTTAGACGGATAGAGAATGTTCAATTATCGAAGCATCCCAATTTTCAGAATGTTCTGTCTTTTCGTTCTCCAGATACTTCTAATAGGCCATCCACCGTGAATCACCCTGTATAGTACACACCACTGATTCTGTAAATTGAATTCCCGGAAAAAGAGGCCCCAGCCTTTAGGACTAGGTAGTCTGTTACATTAGTTACCCCACATTGGGCGCCATTTCTGTGATGAATAATAATGATGATTCATACATAATTAAAATTAAGAAGATGACTTGAAAATCCTTCTACTCCATCAAATTGATAGTTTTGTTTTAAGATACTTACAAACAGGGGATTCTTGATTTTCGGAAAAAGTAGTTGACCTACACTAGACAGTCTGTCACATTGTTGGTATGCCCCACATTGGGCGCCATTTATGTGATAAATAATAAATTTTCAAAGAACGAGGCAAGATTTCAAGTCATATGTAGCTCCATATAATCACAACTTTTATGTTTGTCCACGTGAGCCTCATCATGCGAAGTTTTCGTCTCGCTTATTTCTTCTTCATCAAATTTATAGTTTCGTGTTGAGGTACTTACAAATAGGTGATTCCCCCTGCAACCATCGAAAATTTCGGTCCTATCAGGCTAATCACAGATGGTGCGCTCCAATTGAAGACAGAAAAGAACACGTAGATGATGGCCAAGCTATAGAAGGCTTTGACGTCGAATGACGGATCATCCTTATAGATACTGTCTGTGATGGTTTTCTGGAACAATGCATATACAGGAAAAATGCATGTGTGTCAACAGCAAACCAGCAACCAGTCGACAAAGATATCCAGAGAAAATTCACTTGATAGACGATGTATATTTTATGGACATCCAATGGATGTTCCAGGTGGAAGAAGCTGAACTTCCATTAGATATCCTCTGGGGATATTCATAAGATATCTTTCAGGGATATCCATGAGATGTTCATCAAGGATATTCCCAAGATATCCTCCTCAACTAACATCATGAGAAAATTATACCAAGTAGAGAGGAAAAAATCACTTGAAGGAGTCAAAATTTACTAATTTTCGACAAAATATCTCACCTTCATTTTCTATAAAAACCATCAACTTTATAGGCAAAGTGCATAGTTGGAAACTACTAATAACAGACTTCGAACATAACTTCATAGTGCTAGTGGGCATATAGTTATCAATTGGGTGATATTCAACTTCAATTTGAGTTAAAATTTACCAGATTCTTACTTCATAAACGTTCATATAGTCAGGGAATTATCAGATGGAGAAAATAAGTCGAATTCATACTCTTTCCTACCTATTTTTATGCCAATTGAGGGGAAGGGGTTTCTAAGAATTTTTTGTCCGCTGAAGGCAATTTTACCACAATAATAGTTATTTATTATACAAGGGAAAAAAGTAGTAGATTTTAGCTCCAGGTTGTGTTGTCTCCCGACGCGTAGCGGAGGGAGACAAAAAACCGTGTGCTAAAATCTAATATTTTTCCCGTGTATAATACACTATTTTTTTCTGTGACAGAAGGATGGACGAATCAATATTGAGAAGATATTACATTATTTCGAAATCTGAAAATTATCGACGTGAAATTTCAAGTTTTTAACAGTAGGGACACCTGCGTTTTATAGGCATCTTTATCATTCTTTTGAAGTAATCAAATATCTGATGTCACTTCTGTCAGTTCAATTATGTGATTTGATTTTGAAAAATTGCGAATTCAGTAGTTGTTTAGTAATATACGAAACCGCGAAGTCGAATGGAAGATAAAAGGACTTGCAGTTCTTTCTCGGAGACGGTATTATTGACTCATTTTTTGGAACTATAGCACAACAAAAGCCATTAACAGAGTATATATATGTGATATATATCCGGGAAAGAAGTACTCACTTTTTTCCCACGGGAAAAAAGTAATTTATGAAAAGTGACATTTTATAACCTGCCAACAGAGATGAAATGCCAAACTTTTTTCCCGTCACAGAAAAAAATCCTTATATAACGAAGTGTCCTTGGGAGACTCGAAAACACCAAAAATAATCCAAAACTCATGTTTTCAAAGTTGATTGGTATTATTGACCCTCGTGTTTTGAGGTCGGCAACTATTTCGGAAATATCATTCATTTCCGAAAAATAAGAAACTTGAGACAAGGACAGGGTACAAGCTTTGAATGTTTTATTCTTTATCAGTGAATGGTTTCAGGTAGCTTTCCGCTTGAACGTGAATTCGAATCCAGCAATTTCTCTGCATATACAGGGTGTCCCGAAATTAGCCTGCCATCAAACTTCACCAGCGGCTTTTACTACCAACTACTCCTGAAGATGATATTACTTGAATATTTCCGAAATTCCATTTAATAAAAAGATGCAATTTGGTACAAGAACTGAAATTTACATACCGAATGCAGTAAAAATGAAATTATTTCAAAATTTCAATCAGGAGTGTATAATACAGGGTGGGACTACATTAAATATTAGGCAAAATTCTTTGTATGCATATTTTTCGACAATCTCAAAGTCCGGCTCTGGAATTTTTCTTCCATATTAGGCCATCGTGTGGTTTGTCAGAGGTACATTGCTGGTGAATTTCAGGCGAAAACATCGAGACGTTCCTGAAATATCGGTCGTCAAAGTTTCACACAGAAATCAAGTAATGCCCTGCACTTCTATTAAAGAATAGACAGAATATATTTTTTCACATATATATCAACTCAACTTGACTCCCTCTATGTGCCATTGGACTATGGCTGGTTAGTCATGACTCACCCTGTATATTGAGGCATGTAGAATATTTTTACCTCAAGGTTAGGAGGAAATGATGAGCCTTACTGATGTCATACACCAATTTTACAATTCATCTGTCCAAGAAAAAAACATGAAGCAAAATATGACATACGACCGTAACTACGCCACTGCTTAGCGGAATTTGAAAATCAAAACACAATGTAATTACATTGATTAATCTGGAATAGCATACCGAGTTTTCATTTTTTCTTGCAAGGATTACGAAGAAATATATCAATATGAAACTTATTTTTTTGTACTTTTGACACCCTGTATCTCTGGAGGATACACTTTAGGGCATACTTAGATAGATTACATGTGGTAAAGAATCCATAATATACGATAGATAGGTACTGCATTTGCTGATAGAGTATCTTCAAGTTTTAATTTGGTATGCAAATGAATGCAATGTATTGACATTGACATACCATACTACCTACATACATGGTGGGGTGATTCATTATTAAGAATGGGGAAATCTCTAAACTACAGATAGTAAAGACAAGAATAATGAGAATCAGTCCAATATACCTGATGATAATGTTACTGATTCAGGAGATACAGGGTGTTCTTGGGGGAGATTTTATTTCAACATTTCACAATAACTTTGTTAGTTTTAACAGCAATTTTATTTATTAAATTAAGAATGGGGAATCTCTGAACTACAGATAGTAAACACCCAAATATGAAGATTCAGCCCAACATGCCTCATAAAAAATTGCTGGTTTAAGAGATACAGGGTGGCTAAGGAGAAGATTTTATTTCAAAATATCTTCTCCTTAACCACCCTGTATCTCTCTTAAACCAGCACTACTTTTATGAGGCATGTTGGGCTTAATCTTTATATTTGGGTGTTTACTATCTGTAGTGCAGGGATTTCCCATTCTTAATTTAATAAATATAATTATCAAAATGTTATAATTGGAACCAGGGGCGGCGAGTTTTGTTTTGTCCAATGGGTGCCAAAATTGAGGGGTCAGGGTAAGACAAAATTATGCGCCGCAGGCGAAAATTTTTCATGGTTCAAGGTCAAATGCCATCAAATTTCAAGATAGATCAAAGCATTATTTATTTTGCATCAAGTGTGAAACACCTCTACCAAAATATAATATTTTGTGACTAATCGGGTTTCGAGTTTATGGTTGATATATTAATATGAACAAGGATGAGAAATAGAAGAATTTTTTTTTCACCATTGAAAAAAGTGAACATAACTCAAAATTTAAAACGATATTAGAAAATTCAATCTCTACAAAAATAAAATAAGATTTAATAATTCTCATATCTATTCAGTAATCAAAAAATGGAATAGAGAAACTTGGGGATTCGAAAAAATTAGCAAGTAACCCCAGTTAATTTATTGCAAAGGTATTCCTACTGACTGTATTATCAATGGATTCATTAGCCACTTCTATTTTTTTCCAAACTGGCACTTGTAACCTGTGATGTCATAATGTCTAAAATTTAAATCGGAATATCTGCACAGTGCACAGTGTCAAACCCTGGATGCACATGACTCGAATATACGGTTCCGGTTCGCATGGTTGTTTATACTTGTCCAGCAACAATGTGCAATATTTACAAGTGCTCATTTCGCCCGTATCTAATTTGTTTTTTTATACGTCTGTTTCGGCCAATGGGTGCATTGCACCCATACCCACTGCCTACATGGGTGCATTGGCCCCGATGCCCCCATGCACTCGCCGCCCCTGATTGGAACATGAATCTCTTCAAGAGCGAATAACACAAAAATCGTTGAAGTTAGACAATTTGATAAGGAGTACATTTTTCATGTGAAATTGAACGAGCCTTCAGATTTTCCACTTATTTTAATAATCAATGAATTGACATTACAGATATGATGTGAATTATCGAAGTAACAGAGTGCCACTAGCGCCATCTATGAGCAATCACAAAATGAGTTGCAAATTCATATTCCTCATGTCAAAAAACCAGGAAATACAAGATTTCATGGTCATGCTGTTAAAACTAACAAAGTTATTGTGAAATTTTGAAATGAAATCTCCCTCTAGAACATCCTGTATCTCCTAAACCAGCAACATTCTCATCAGGCTTATCGGGCTAATTCTCATTATTTTTGTGTTTACTATCTGTAGTTCAGAGTTTTTCGATTCTAAATGAATCACCCTGTATAGGTGTATCTTTGAAACTTTGCTTTCATATGCATTCATTGACTTGTAACCCAGGCAAACGGTATCAAAATATGCCGTTTTCTTGAAAAAAATCCAGAAGTCGATTTAATTATTGTACTCCATGTTCCTTGGGGTGCTAAATCACAATCTGTGATTATTCAACCAAATTTTCTGGTGCGATTTGGGATATAAGGCGTGATAGGTACATGTAACGAAAACCTTATGCATTTAACGGAATTATTGAGAAAGGAGAACTATCAAATAGTTTATCAAAATAACCTAGATGTCAACAGGGCCTATGAAATTTTCTTCAATATTCTAATGTACTATTTAGATGTCTCATGCCCTTGTAAAAGTATCCGAATTGGAATATTAACTAACAAAAATGATTGGATTACAAATGAAATCAAAGTTGAGGGTAGGAAATTGAAGGAACTGTATTTGTTAACTAAAAATATCTGCAATGATGAATCATTAGAATTTTATCGCGAAAAGAGATCTCAGTATATAGGCGTAATATCAAAAACTCAAAAAGAATATATTATCAGAACAAGATAACTGAAAACGAAAACAGAATAAACAGAAACAAGTTTGGACGACTGTGCATAAATTGACAGGAAAAAGAATGCAAAATGATCATCCGCGGGAGTTGTACATATATTGATAATAAATTAATGAACGATAAATGTCTTATAGCCAACAAATTTGCTGATTATTATTCAACAATAGTTTCAAGCTGTATTCAACAACACTTTCATGATAACGTTTCTTATTTTTACCCTGTCACTCCAATTGAAGTTTCCAGTGTCA